AACCGTGATATTATGGATGAGACCATTAAAGGGTGTTGCTGGCTATCGCACAATAAACTGGACAAATAAAGAGCAACTTACATCAAATAGGGACCTTCCTGTATTTCCAAACAGTGGCAGCGGCGGTGGCCCAGAGATGCCAAGTTTCTTGAACACAGATAACGGTGCAACACAATACCTTGGAGAGAAAGAGTGGGTAAGCTAGTTAAGTACATGTATCAAGCGAATAACTATTGCCCTAAAATCCAATAAAAATAATATATATATATATTTTGTTAAAAGATTGAACGATTAAGATATTTAAAAAGTGTAGGCCGCTTTTGCGACGAGATGCGTGACTACAGCCTCCTCTCCCCACTCCCTACCCGCCGGCCGGTTATAAACACAAATAGCGACCTTAATTAAGTAAAATATATGTCTATCTAAGCTCGTCTACAAAGTCCTTCATTTCTAATAAAAACAATAATGAAACGTCCGATCAATGAGCAGTTTACACTGTGCATCATTTTATGCATTTTAATTGATACCGGTATAGTAGGAGAATCAGAAATCCGACCAAAAGTGAAACCCAATGATCGTTCGCAAACTGAGCTATTGTTTGCAGCAGATCAGCCATCTTTAGATCTTTTTTACTGGCAGTTTTCAGCAGCTGAATACGTAAGATACGTAGAGCTTCTTGGGCCGGAGCAGGTTAAATCAGAGAACTTGATCTTTTCTTCTGGTAGAACTGTTTGGTTCTTTCCTGCAAAAGACAAAAATTGTACAGTTACAATCTACTTATTGACCTTACGCAATTCGTAATATCAGTACAAGCACAAGAGACGGAACAAAACAGATTAAAATCTATCAGCTGAAGGTTTTTACCTGAAGAAATTCGTAGCACTCTATTAATTGCTTCACTGAATTCTTTGGTATCACACAGCAAAAGCGTTCTCTCGATGATTGCCTATGCGTTTTAAGCTTTGCAGGGTGCTAAGCTTACATTTATGTAAGTAAGCGGCGCATAATTTGTTTCGTTTGTCATATTCTAAATTTAGCCACAGATGTAATGCCAAACAGGGGTGTCACGTCAATCGAGAGTGAGCTCTGTAATTGCTTTCGCTTCGTGAATTGTGTCCTGGAGGTTTTGATGCTATAGTCATATCAATAATGATACCATTTTTTGCATTTTATTGAACAAAAAAGCGTTTTTCTCTCTCTCAGAAGCGCTCCATCTAACACTGAGTTGCATCAGTTGATTAGTTGATATACTCACAGGAAGTGCGTAACGGGCCAACATCAAAGCAAAGCGTTTACCATAGATGGGCAAATTTTAAAGAGATGTTTTTAACTGACTTGTAAGCATGAACTTAGATCTTCAAGGAGGTTGATGTAACATGTGCAATTTTCACCATCATCATTTCATAATTTCTATTTGAGCCACAGTAAATTAAAGAAGTACCTGTATATACAATGATGGCAAAGACATCCCAAAAACAGCAGGCTTATAGCGGAGACCATCTCAACTGTTAATATAGTTTTATCCTTTAGCTTTGTGTGCGCAGCATGACCAATTCAGCAGTATGAAGCTTAAGGACACTTACTTGCATGCAATCTACTTTTAAGTTTAACCAGTTAGTCGTTGTAGCTCCTTTGATTTGGCACTCTATGAGATATCTCACTACGACAGTGGTCGCCTTGAACGCTTTTTTTCAATCCTGTTGAACGACCCGAGCTATGTAATCTGCAGTTATCTTGATCTTGTTACTCGGCTGCTCGCTAGTATTAGTAAATTAAATACGTTGTTGAGGAAGAAGTCAATGATCGATTGTCTTATGTACCAAACTAGGAATACGGTATCTTTCTTCGCACAAAGTGGGTGAAAAAGCAGTGTATTTTCGATATTTTCGTGTGTAGCTGCCTACAAGTTATGTCAGCTTCATCATGGCCACTTCAGATATACTGGACTTGTGTTTGGACAAACCACAAACGTACGTGACTAGAAGAAATTTTGCAAGCATTTTTCCCGCGTTTGAAAAATAAACAAGCCAACATGATTAATTATGACTGCCTTTTTTCTGTGTCAATATCAGCAGATGGAAGGAGACAACAAGAGACGAAATTGCCTTCAGAGACTAGCATTTTAGGTGGGACCCAATTAGTGGAAATAAACTAAACATGGCAGTCTCCTATTCTTATTGTGAGCGAGGTTCAGACAGACAAAGGTCTACTAAGTACATAAATTTTTTTGGCCTTAAAAAAATGATAGCTCATGCATGGCTGATGTCTTAAAAGGCAAAACATAACAATGTCTATAACGCAAAAGTTTAACAGCGCAAAATGCAACAACCACCTTGATAGATGCTCACTAGTAAAACCTAAGTTATGAAGCAGAAATAATGCTCTAATTCATAAACAATTCATCAACTTTCAATGAAGGAATCATAACCGTAACAGTGGTTTGAAATCTGGTCTTATCTACCTGTATCAAAAGGTTTTTACGATTTTTTTTCACCCGTGTTTACGGTCTTAGTTTAGTTTCGATTGAGAAGATATATCAAGCACTCGAGACAGTTCTTTACCACATTTCCGAACACCTCGCAGTTCTTCAAAAATTCTCCGCTGCGCGTCGTATTTTCAACTCTCATTTAGGTGTTTGAAAGTGAGCGTAAAGCACGATCTCTCTTGTTTAATATGTTATCTGATAAACAGTGAGGTGAACAATCGTAAAGCCTCTTATAGAGCCGAACGAAAGGAAAAAAATTCTGTTTATTTAAAGTTAAGTAATATGTTGACACCACACTAACAATATTGTCTTAATAGATGATTTATGCTGCATACACGAGGCAACACTATAATTCAATGATGAGTTAAGTCTGATCTGGCCGTGTGACCAATACGGAGATCGCATTGACACACTGACAAGGGTTACTTAATGTGACTAGAGGGATAACGAGTGCAAGATACCCAGAGGGTTGGTCAACCTAGCAACCTGGATAACGATTAACTTTGGTCGAAATTAGAAGTAACTGACGGAATGACATTGTTGAGTATCTAATGGTACTTTATTTGAAAAGCCATCAAAAGATACCATTCAGAAAGAAAATAGCATGTTCTTTATTTTCCTTATTGTGTTCTAACTATAGTCCAAGTTATTCATTAAGAAACCAACTAAGTGTAGTCCAGGACCAGTAACGACTTTATTACAACCACTTGAAATTACAAAAAAAAAAAAACAGTATACATTTACCCTTATTGAATCTGATTTCACGTTCCAAGTTAACAGTACTGAAAAATGTCTCGTAAATTAGACCTCAACTTTATTCTGCCGGGCTCTTACGCCGAATTCCAAAAGGTTGAAAGTTAACAAACGTCTGTTATTGATGTGCACATGTAATATTGCATTCAGTTTATTTTTAACTTTCCATCACTTTGGACAAGAAAAGAATACATCTCATCGCAGCAAACTAAACCTGTGAGGCTTTGCATGTGATCATCCAAACAAAACGAGAGACGGAAGT